CAGTGAGAGTGAGAGTGAAAGTGAGAGTGTGAGAGTGTAAGAGTGAGAGTAAGAGTAAGAATAAGAGTGAGAATGAAAGTAAGAATAAGCGAGTGCGGCCGCAAAATTCGCAACGCTAACCGCATACCAAAGAGCGACGACAGGACGGAGTCGAACTTACGAAAAGGGAGGAGGGAAGGAGGGAAGGAGGGAAGGTAGGAGGAAAACAAGGAGGAAGAGGAGAGAGGAGGTGGGATTTCGACCTAACAAATCAGGGGTTAAGATTTGCACCCGATCGAAAAAAACCTTGCTATCGCAAGAGTAATTCCAGCTAGCTTCGCTAGCTTTCGTGACATTCCAAATTTAAAAATACAATACCAAATCGCAATAATCATTACCAAACCTCAAAAATAAAAACCAAATCGCAACAACAAATTCTAGGACCATAACCGCATAAATAATGTGAAAAATATTAAATCACATTTCGAATGCAAAATAACAAATGCGTACTACCGCTCAACGATCGCAACCCAAATCACAAACACACACAACCACAACAAACGGCCACAAACACAGAGACCACAAACACACAGCAAATGCAAACACAAACACACAACCACAACACACAACAACAAACACAGAAGCCACAACACACAACCACGAACAAAACCACAAACACAAAAACCACAAACACAAAAGCTTTATCTTTGTTAGGACCAAAAAGCCAACCCATCATTTCAATGAGTTTATTAAAATAGAAACTACCAAAGGCTTTGGCGAGCACCGGCTCTATTACTATTGAAATCACAAAAGAAATTCATTACAAGGATTGCTAACCATCGACGAGCAATAGCTACAATCAAAGCAGGGTACCAGTTAAATTGCAATACGGCAGCCGGCAGACAACAAATCAAAAGGGGGCCCATGCAATATGCCAAAGACCCAACGGCGGCGATATAGTTGCCAAATTGCGATCACCAAAAATTTCAGGTAATCGTTGCGAACCGGGACCTGCCTATATGCCCTCTTCATATTGTTAATGGCTACTTGAAGCTCAATGCCACCTTTCAAGGACTTGGATAAAAGGATGCGAAACTTGCAAATGGCCAGATCCAAATCCACAGAGGTTATATGCACGCATTCTTCAGCACTGGTGCATAAGTTACACTCATTAGATTTGGATCGTCGATGGAGCTGTAGGCATTGCGATTTGCCTAACACGTAGCAAAACACATCATTGGGCGCCAAATATTCAATCGAAAATGCTCATGCAAGTCCGACGGCTCAAGCTTCTTGTAGTCCTTGCTCAATTCCAAATCATTGCAGCACGGAATAGACAGTGCGGAATTTAAAATATAGGCAAAATATCTCTCATTTCCATCCCCTTAATACAAGGCGATAGCTGCACTATAGTCAGACCAAGCCACACTACATCAGAAAATAGACTAATTAAAATAATCGCGCAAAGGCTGCAAAGAGGCGCCGGGAAGGTCCTCATGGCTTTCGAGGTCAATGCAAGCCAAGTTTATCCGATCGCCTTGCAGTCTTGCTAGTGCAGTAGTCTTGCTGGCGCAGCACTGCAAAAGCCCACGTGACCCGTGCAATATTTGGCGTGATTCATGCGCAGCCCCCCCGCATAGGCCCAATAAAAGTATATTTATCAGATTATTTTCTGGAAGGTTAGGCCTTTCGTTCCGGGATTTACCTGTCTTTACAATTGGGTGCGATTATGATTTTCCTCCCCTTCTGCACCCGCACGGGTCACATTTATTGTATTGTGGCGTACGACCTTGAAGCTTATTGGTTGTGGCGCCGGGGCATCCCGGCAACAGAGGTAATGTCGAACGTCGCCGCGCAGCCATGTTGGCTATGGCCATGCCGCCTTGTGTTGCAACTTTGGTTTTACAATTTTACCCGTAAAGCCTTCTTAGGCAAGCAAACCCAGCGTCACAACCTAAAACCTTATCGTTTGCTAACTACCCACGCAAAGACTTAGTGTTTGCCCGACGCACTAGGATAGACAAGAACGGAGTCTAGCTGGCGAGAAGCTTTAACGCAAAGTTGTTGGCTTCGTTGCGAGCCAAAGCTGGTTCGTACCATTCGGCTTGCTTCCGGAGACACATATCATGTTAGTTGGTGCTATATAAAATCCTTTGGAAAATTTGTCGCTTTAGGAGATGACCTTGATTTAGCTGTGCGTACGGTAGTAGTATTGCATGGCGGCCTCGGGCCGTCTGAGTCCGACGAGGTTGTATCACTTCCACTGGACCCCTCGGTGATTAATATCCTTTTTCTTGATTTCCTGACCTTGAAAGACTTGAGAACTTCCAAGCTCAGGAGCGTGGTGAGGTCAGTCTCTGCTAGCTCCTGGCCCTCGGCAGAAACGATTCGCGTCACCAGCTTGTCGAATCCAACGGCTGAAGCGCTTTTCTGGTTCTTTTACCCTTCTAGGAGCGGATGCCTCACCGTCTCGGATTCGTTGTTCTTTTTCTTTGACGTGATACTGAAAGCCTTTCTGCCCTGCTGCCTTGAGCTTTCAACAGCAGGTTCATGACGGCATCCTCTCCTTCGCTGTCCGAAGCTCCCAAATTGTCCGCAAACGAAATCTCCTCTTTCTGGGTTTGTTCTCTCTTGATCTTCTCAAGTCTTCCAAAGCAGTGACGTACAACAGTTTGTCTTTGCTCAGAAGTGCCCCCCCCCTTCCAAGGCACCGGGCGCATCAGCACCACTGGGCTGCAGCTCTTTTCCTCCATCGACTAAAATGAACTTCTGCCCCCTTGGGCCCTTGGCCTCAATAAGTGTGACTTCGTCTGTTCTTTCTTCTATCTCTGGATTCGTCACTCTCACTAATTACAAGGATCACGTGGATTCGTGAGTTGCGGTGTATCACCAGAGCCTGCCGCCATGAAGGCGGCTATTCATCTAGCCTGAGAAAAACTTGATCTCCTTCTTTGGGTCTTGATATTCTGCTCATCCCCGAAATCTCAAACCAGCCAGGAAAAAAGCAAAGGCGAAAGAGGTGCTCTGCCTCAGCCTTCAGCTTCTCCAGCACGTTCAGGCGCGCCACCCAACTCGAAGATCCACTTCGCTGCCAGCGACCATGAACAAGTTGAACCTACCCCTATCCCTCGAGAGAACTTGAGATCAAACATTCACAGTGAAGCATAAAATCATCAATATCCTTAAACTATTGATCTATTTAATATCAATCAATAATGTATTCCAAATATTACATTATAAAATATTCAAGTTATTAATATAATCGAAGGACAAATGTCCATGAACTAATCAATTGGGTATTTGCCTAGGTTGCCTTGCAAATCCGTAGTTGAACAAAATGTGTTGCACTTTTTCTCTCAGGCCCATTGCTGTGACAGATACCTTCATTAGGTACAAAAGAATCCAATGGAATCCCCTTGGGATCAGCGGGCCACCGGCTGTGGGTGGCCCAAAGAAATACAATTTCTAGCCATGGCTGATAGCTACTGACTGTATTTGCCAAGGGGCGGAGGACATGACTTCGGATGAAAAACAAACAAACGCAGGAAAGTTCGCTGCCATGCGCCCGGAGCTGCGACCTTTGCTTGACGGAACCTAGTTGCATGGAACCTCCCCCCGATGGCTCATTCAGCAATGGCGCTCATTCAGCTGTCTCTTTGCAGCTGCCCGCTGGATGAAGCGGACCCAAGGATGAGGCGCAGGGAACCATTCCAAATTGTTCATGTTGTTTCAATCAACAAAACATTCATGGTACCACACTTGGGATTAGATGGGAACGTCTATGGGCAAGCGGCCGGCACATACTGGCACAGTGGCAGGCACTGGTTTCATTGATCAATTGATAGGGGCCAATTCCATTTCTAATTGGACTGGAGAGGCAAAAGTAATGCCACTTTCATTTGCGTGTGTAGAGCATCGGTTTACTAGACCGCTGATCGCTCCTGCCCGAGTTGCGAAGTGGTGGGCACTTAACCGGGACACTGAAGAGTCGCTCCCCCACACCGTTGCTGGTGAAGAGACAGCTTCGCTGCCTTCAACTCAGCACCAGAGTTCCAGACGTCACGGAGTGTGAACCGATTGGAACAAGAAGGGTCACACAGGTTCTTTTGGGGGTTAGATGTGTTTGGGCCCGCATGCGCTGAGCTGTAGTTCGGCAGAATCATAGGGCATGATTCGGTGTAAATGAACGCTTCACGAAACAGCCGAGAACTTACAACATCTTACAACTCCTGTCTCATGTGCGAAAGCATTTGCTGCCAGTATTCTTGACACTCTGTGACGATCGAATCAAGGCGTCTACAGGCTTCCATGCTCTTCCATGGCCTTACCGTCGGCCCCAAAAGGCCTCAAAAAACCGGAAAGGGATTCACATGGAAAAGCTATGCTGCTGCCAACGGCAGCACCAGGAAGAATTGGAGCTCCAACCATGTTGGCCAAATATCTCAAAACATGTTGGATGCATCATCTTCCACCTACCTCTTGGTCATGCTCTTTGTGATGTTTTGTGTGATTTGGTCAGTAACTTGGAATAGTGGGTGGAATTTTCTGAACATGCCAGTTTCTCGCAGCGACTGATTTTCTGGAATTCTCTGGATTCCAAGTGGTCACTCGGTCACCCTACTTCTTCAACCCTTCTTCCACCAGTGCCATCCCGGTGTCGACAGCACCGGGCAAGCCACTGGCACCGGACTTACACAATGACTCATTAACATGGAAGTGGAAAACGGGCCCCTGAAACATCCTGAAACATGCTTTCCACTTCCATGTTAGTGAGTCAAAGTGTTTCTCTCAGTTAAGTTCGCATGATTGAATCGATGGGAGACCTCAACAGGAGCAGCAGTTCCTGTTGGGGCCTTGTTGGCAAACTTCAGCGGCATTATCGGCATCTCTTTTTGGAGGAAGGTGCCTTCAAATCCTTGCTTGCTTCTCTTTGTTGTGGATGGGATGCACCCGAAAATAGGAGAACCGGCTAGAACACGAGTTCAGTTCTGCTTCTTTTTGCCATTGCCATGGCTTTTGTCGTTCTTTTGGCGTGTTGTTTGTCGTTCCCATGCCCCCCGCGTTCACGGGGCTGTCAATTGACGACTTCGTCGGAGCTCCGGCATCTCACAGAACTCGCCTGGGGCCGCGGTGGGTTTCTTCAGATGGGTTGGGCGACCTGGTTTTCACAGTAAAGTGAACCCGCTCCAGGTGTATAAACGGTTTCCAATTTCATAGATGAAAAAACTTGGCACGTGAGCATCATTGCACTTGAAGCTGCTGCGGCACTTGGGCATCTAGGGTCTCTTGTTTTGGCTCTCAGTCTTTCAATCAAGTCCAACTCTTGAAGTGACAAGCTGGCGAGAACCACAACGGGGTCATAACTGATAGCACAACTGCACGAAGGGGAACTTGACTTCCCTGTGTGCTTGGTGTTGGGCCCCAAGTAGCTGGAAGAACCTCATGGCTCAGTCAAAGAAGTCAAATGAAGTCAATCACACATGGCGGTGAGGTCAAGGCTAGTGAAATAAACTGACTTGGCACACAGGTGGATCGATCCGAACCCATCCCCCCAACTGCACCTCTAAAGGAATGGCTGCAGCTGACCCTTGAAATCCAAGAAGGAGACCTTCATGCGGTTCTTCTGCACGTGAGATGGATGAGCAAAGCTGAAGATTCATGACCAGGGTTAGCTAGTCAGCTAGTCCAAAACTAGAAGCTAGTGGGGGCATGCGCTTCTTATATAGTCAGTGTACCTGGCGAAGCACCAGCTGAAGCTCAGGAAGACACTTCCCAGTATCAATCAATGCGAATAGCGCTGGTCCTTTGAGCTCAACTGGGCCACCTTTCCACACTAAGACCTCCCTTTAAAAAACATTAAGGAACCCAATAGCGATGGCCTCCAACCTAGCTAGCGATGGCCTCCAGCCACTCCGGCCTCCAATTTTGAGCCTACGGGAGGGGGGCCCCTTTTGGTAAGGTTTCTTCTGTCCGTGGTTCTTGTGAGATGGACGGAACAAATCTCCTCCGGATTGGGCCCCAAAGGCGGAATCAAACCTGTCCACTTCCACAGTTGGGGCCATACCAGTCCGATGGAATGAATTAGATTGCAGTGGTTTCAGAGTAGGTAGCACAATCCCCCGAGGTCGGTGCTTGAAACATGGACCCCCAATCTAAAGGAGACCTTGAGGTCTGTGCCATCTACTCTGAAACCGCTGTACATCATATTGAACAAAGGGGGGATTCCGGGATGCATGCGTGAAAGTCAGCCACAAATCCAGAAATGCGTCTGGCTTCACCTGCAGCTTGTGTCGTACCTTGCGCTTGACCGGTTTGTAGAGGAAGGACCCCCCACGTCACAAACACTTCGCTCCGCACCGAGCTGGAGTTGGGCGCGGCAAAGCGACGCCACCTGTGGCGCAGGTAAGGAAACCAATGACAATAGCTAGCGGCTAGCTAGCGGGCTTGAAGTGCCTGATAGCTGAGGAAAGGCAACCACAAAGCAGAAACATCCATTCCAATCACGTTGATTCATGTTGATTTGGGGGTCCACGGTTTAGTTACTCGTAGTACTTCAGAGTGCTTGGACCTAGCCAATGGCATCCAATGACACAACGCCGCAATCAAACCAAACGCCCAGTGAACAAATCAACGAAGAGTGAAGTTCCTCAAATCCCCTCAGCACTTGTAGCCCACTTGAAAGGAATTTTGTGCCGGACTTTGCAAAAGAAGTCGTCCGCATCTTTGATCACCGTTTCCTCCTCTTCAGGGTCCTGTTTCTACATAAGTTAGGTAGCCGTGCAGTATGCGACCAAGGGTACGATACGAAAAGCAAGCTCTTGTTACAACAAAAAAGGCTTATCAATTGACACATGTTCGATCTTTTGATTTGGTGTCTGGCTCGGATTCGCATCCACGTGCACCAGTCGCACGCCCGCGTCTGAAGGGCTCTGCATTGGGTTTCCGGACATGAGGTCCCATTGCTCTCCTCACAGCTTGATCGGAGAAATGGACCTAATGATCGTTCGTTTCGCCCTTCGCTTAGTTAGCGAAGAAGATTGGAACATGTGTGCCGTGTGCGAAGCTTCCAAGTGGGAGCTTCAAAAACAGAGTCTGACAAAAACGTGTTCAACAGCTGTGACCTTACAATCTTCAAACCTGTGCAGAAGGACTTGCGAACACCACGTGCAAAGGACTTGTGGAGTCTCTGTGTAGTGCAAGTAGTTGGGTGTTTGACCTCAGGACCTCTATTTAACTCCTAGATGAATAGCAATGGCCTCCAACCTAATAACAAGGGCCTGGGGCCTCCAACCTAATAGACAATTCTTAACTCTACCCATCAGTGGCTTTTAGTCTATCTACTCTACATATCTCATCAGTTGACATGTCCATCATGTTGACCCGGAAGCACGCAATCCGTTTGCCACAGCTGTCGTTAGTTGTCGTTCCACTGCAAACCTATGAACCGCTGGAGGCTGTCACCCAGTCACTACAGTATCACACGGTCACCCAAAAAAACAGAATTAATCGCAAACCTCTCTCTCTCTCACATATATATATATATATTTATTAAACATATATTATAGTTATATAAATATATTTGTATGTCAATTGCTATTTCTCGCGTCCTGCATGTTGCAAAAGGTGACTGGTCAATTGACCGTGGCACCCCCGCATCACCCACCACCCTCCTGTAGGCGCAGGCAAGCCCTGCGCTGCAAAGGCACGACGGAGGTCCAGCTGGCTGAAACCCAAACCTTGGTTCAGCATGGCTCAGCTTCCGCGTGACTGCTTTCCAGCATAGGCCTGCGGCCCCAAGCATCGTTTTACCCTTTTTGCAATGGGCAGTGTGCTTTCAACATGGTCTAGATGTTCAGGTTGTTGCCCGAAGGATAGCAAATCAGTCGTGGCTTCCTACAATATCTATGGTATTAGCTGCAATCATTAGCTCTTGGGCAACAGGTATGTCTTCTTGGCCCTGCGCTGGGACACAATGAATTCTTGTACAGTACATCAATCCCTGATGAACAGTGCGCGCAGTAAAAGGCACTGACAGCTTTGCGTCTGTGAGAGACCCTCACAGCTGCCTCAAATTGCTGAGATCAAGCAACCTCCCAACTCCACGGGAGAATTGGTACCTCCATCAGAATTGCGATTCCTCCTTACTTACAATGAAGCCTCCAAAGAAAACACACACAACTGATCATTAGGTCTTCCCCTCTTGCCCGGTGAAATTCATCAAAACATCGCAAAAAAACCCTTTCAGCACTGCTTCCCCTCTCGCTTCACATCCACCAGGTCTTTACGCAGGGGCTGTCGCGGCCGCAGGCCAGAGCGGTGAAGACGTCGCACAGGCCACAGATCCTGGCCGGCGTCCACGAGGCGACCCCACATGGAGCAAGACGCCATGGATTGCAAGACGCATTCTCTTAAATTTGTATATCTTCGTCCGGCCGAAAAAAGCTGATTCTCCCCTGCCGCTGGACTCAAACCCAAGCCGTGCACCCACAGAAAACTCCAGCTACAAAAACAATAAGAGACCCAAACTCCAGTAAGGACACCTGCAAAATGGCACGTCTTTTTTTGAAGCACCAGAGTACACAGAGTCTAATTTTCCGTCTGGGGTATTCTGGGGTTGTCAATTGGCCGCGGCTGGCTGATGCACAACTCTTTTCCCAAGGAAGAAGCCAATTCAATGCTTCATGCCCCCATCTGCGAACAAAGGGCATCGCTACTAGTAACAAAGGGCATCGCTACGAACGGAGCAAGAACGCTACTACTAGCTCCTGGCATTACGACTAGTAACAAGAAGCTACTAGGTACAAACAGGGGTGGGCAAGGACAATCCTTCTTCCGCCGGTTCCGGGCCCATAAGGGGGTCTAGTGGGCTAGTACTATCGGCCTCCACCCTAGTAGCTTCTTATTACTAGTAGCGATGGCCTCCAACCTACTTGCGATGGCCTCCACCTAATAGCGCCCGTGCTACTAGCCAGGGGGCTAGCATCCTTTCAGGTGATTCTTGAGTCTGCCCACCTGTCCACCTAGGGCATCTTTCTTCCACCAACCGCCATAGACAGCCTGTCATCACCACTTTTGCTGCAACTGCCAAGTAGCTCATGCGTCAGGAAGGCTGCCAACTCACGGCGCTCCCTCTCCAACTCGTCCGCTGCCTGACAAAGGTTGCTTCGTGAAGAATGGTGAATTGTGAAAAAGAGTTGGGGTGTGGCAAAGGGCATCGCTAGTAGGAGCAAGAAGCTACTAGGGGCTCTTGGCCTTACTACTAGGAGCAAGGACGCTACTAGGACTCCTGGCCTTACTACTAGGAGCAAGGCATTCTGACATCTTGATGCATTGTGGACATCTTCATGACGTGTCTTCAACTGATTCTCAAGCCCCAAAGGGTAATCAAAGAACTTCCTTCAGAAAAGGCGATCCAAAAACTTCACCCCCGGCATCTGAACTCCGAGAGGTCCTTCTCACAGTCTCGTGAATGATCGATCGTCAATGGGTTCACCACTCAGCCTCCAAAGCACCGCCCAGCAAACGGTACAGGTTGGTCCTCAGCCAGCTCGACCAAACGCCCGGCACCGATGACAGCTGAGAGAGGAACATCAATATATGTTGCTATCTTCTTTTGTGCTCATACATCTCAGTGTGAGACAAATACTCGAATAAAGGACAGAGTCCAGGCATCTCCACACGGCAAGCCATTCTATACTCCGTCAACACTCCTTACATCTCCATACCTTGCTGTGGTTCTTGATCTCAGCAAACGGAGTGATGGATGCTGGACACATGGTTTGGTGATGTTTATGCATGACTAAGCCCGCACTTCCTCAAATCTATAGCACTGCTCCAGCTTCCTCCATTCCGTGGAGCTCATTTTGCTTGGCTCTGCGGGCGAGCGGAACCTCTGCGGGACCACCTTCTCTTGCCAAGCTGCTTCGCAGTAGAAGTCAACGGATAACCTGAACTGCCAAGGAATCAAAGCCGCTGTACTGAGAAGAAAAAAAAGGTCAATCTACTACTGGCTCTCCCTGGTTCTGCCCGGCATAGCTGAAAAGACTCAGATGTCAAGCAAATCCAAGCTGTGTGAAATAAAATCAACACACACACACACACACGAGCACAACTAAATGCGAGCACTGCTTCAATTTGGAAATCTGACTTCCACCAAACTTTCACCTTTCACTCTTGGGATAAAGACTTCGTTGAAGATACTTTTGGCAACGCAAGCATGGTAATGTGGGCTTGCATGAAGGTTGCCATCACCCTTCAAAGGAACGCACAATTCAGTTCCTCACAAAGATTCCAATACACCAAACGAACGATCTAAAACATAGAGGCATAGAGTTAGTATGGTTGATGCTGCCCGGCTGCCCCATAAACGACATTCACAACCAAAAGAAACCGCCAACACATGTGATAAATGCAACCTTAGCTGGATGCATCTGTGACTAATACAAACTCTTAACTCTCAACGTCATCCTCACTGGGCAAATCCAATCAACCACCAATTGAACATCTTCAGACCCTGTTCCTTTTCGGTGATTCATTGCCTCTATTTGGCGGACTTTGCCCCCCACAAAGCCCAATCTCAAGCTGATGGGCCTGCCAGAACCTAAAACTCATTACAAAGCTTCGCTTCGAAGGCTTGCGTCATCTCATCTCTAACACCTTTGAGAGAAGCATCAGCTGTTCCTTGCTGTTCCTTAGGATGGGGTGGAATCCGAGTCCCTTCAATAGTGGAAGAATTTTCCCTCAGACCAGCGGCCTCTCAGGACCGGCCGACCGGACTCGACGGGTTTTTGGTGAGCAAGGCGCAAGGCTCCGGGCGGTCGCCCTGCACGTGGTAGCATTTGAAAGGAGTCCTCACCACGGGGATAACTGGGCAGGGGCCCAGAAACATCAACAAGTGCCTTACTAGTAGTAACAATGTTCGCTATTAGAAACAAGTGCCTCGCTACTAGGAGCAAGTGCCTTACTAGTAGTAACAATGTTCGCTACTAGGAGCAACACATGTTCCGTTCTTTTGGGGGTGGGCTGTTGGACAAGTGCTGAAGAAGTGTGAATGTAAGAAGGCATTGTTCCTAGTAGCGAACATTGTTACTAGTAGTAAGGCACTTGTTACTACTAGCAATGCACTTGTTCCTAGTAGCTTTATTGTTACTACTAGTAAGGCACTTGTTCCTAGTAGCGTGGCACTTGTTTCTACTAGCGAACCTTGTGATGTGGAGGATTTGAGCTTTGGGGTTGGTTGTTGCTGCTGCTTCTGCACAAATTTGTGAAAATCACAGAAATGACTCAAGGCACAAGGGAATTGCACAACAGTAAAATAATAGGTATACTGCACTATCTTTTCTGGTCCCTTCGTGGTTGCTCTGCATCTAAGCTGTATGTGTCTGCTTTGCGCAAACCCCAGCACTGTCTCTCCATTGCCTAGAACTGCCTCCGACTTCCCCACTGCACAGTCCCTGTACTGCACTGTCTCTCCATTGCATAGAACCTCCGACTTTCCCACTGCACAGTCCCTGTACAGCAACGCACCACTGCACCATAACGGCACTATTCCAACAGTTTATGTCCGTCGAACCTCCTCTGTACTGCCCCTCTCTTCCTTGCAAAGTTTTGGCAGCATCTTTAAATTTTCTGAATGTCACTTTCTTCTTCGGCACGTCACTGCACTTTTCTACCTATGAGAATCCCTCTCCGTCCTTTTGCATGGAGGCCATCGCTACTAGGCTGGAGGCCATCCCTGCCACCCGGCCTGCACACGGGGCAGGTCACCGACGGGCATCCTGCAGCGTCCGCGGAGCGTTGCACGCGGCAACCGCAGCCGGGACACGGCTCCGAGGAGCGTAGCCTTGGGAGGCGAAAGGAGACGCCGTCGAGTTGTTGGTTGCAGTTTTCGGCTGTGCCATGCTGTGCCATGCAGTAAGGTCGGTTGAGGATGAAGACAGGATCAAGTGAAAGAGGAAAAACATGGTAAAACTCTTCAATTTAGTAGGCCCCGCTCGGACTTTGCCTCGGCAGATTTCGCTGCAAAGGTCTTTCGATGTCGTTGCAAGATGCTCTGCTGAAGGCCGCGATTCAGGCTTGCAAGCATTCGGTTTTCACACTCGGTTCTTTTTTTGTCGCAAGTTGTTCTAGTTGGTTGTGGTCCTTGCTTCTCATGTCCCAACTTGCCTCTTTTCATGCCACTTGCTCAGAGTTACATCATCTGAGCGATCTTGGTTCACAATGGATGAGGTTGGGTGGGTTGACTTGGAATCTTTCCAGGAGGCCTGGTCCAAGTTGATCTTCCTCTCAGAAGGCTGTTGAGCTTTAGACTCAGACTCACTCAACTGTATATATATATATATATGTATTATATTGTATTGTTTATTTATAGTTACTTATGAGCCACTGGCATTGGATGCATACTCTACAATCATCCAAGCCAACAGGAATATATGTGCGGCAATATTGGCACCAACAGGTTACAGTATACGTTCAAAATCTTTCAAACTTGTAAACATGAACTTATCAAACAATTGTTTCTACCAGCGAGGTTGCTGTGGGTTTCCCAAGTGACTGACACGCAAAATTAACATCGCCTAGCTCGTCCAACCAACTCCTGGATCCAAGTAGTGTTGTCTGGGCCATCGCCATTATTTTTTGGTTGTGGACCTTGGCATCAATAACCACACGCATCAATGAATGAATCTGATGATTTTGGGATGCCGTGAGGCCTTCGCCCAAGACTCAGTTCACCATAAATGGGTTTGGACGATTAGTCTCTTCCCCTATAGTGTAGGTATGATAATCTGCCCTTACTTTGCGGGGATTGATTTTAAGTTGATGTGACTGTAATTATATGGTTGGAGGACTGGTTGGAGGTTGATGGCTCCCGTCGACACGAACCCTTTCCACTTCCCCCCGCTGCTGGTCGGTGAGGCGCAAATACAACACGGACTTTGCTTCGTTGTCACTGTTGGCATCCATGGAAGCCTGACATGCATTGAATCCAAAGATCTCATTCAGCAAGGGGTTCTCACTCAGCCTAATGAGGGAGATGGTGGGAGTGATCGGAGTAACCAACATGAAAGCCTTTCAGAATCGGGGCACCCTAGCGAACCATTTCCATAAGCACCTGAAGCCATTTCCATAAGTTAATCCACCTGCAAACACCGTAAATTCACCTCCCATCTCACATTCTCTGACCTTCCTCGCTCGCAACCACGCCCGCAGCTTCCACTTGAAAAACAACCCGCCTGGCATGCCTCGCTGGTCAAAGGCAGCGTGAGCACGGCCATATCACGGAAGTCCAAAGAGTCGGGCAACATGAAGGAGCCTCACAATCCATGTCCCAATCCATTCAACCCATTCAATTGGATTGAGAGAATGGGTTTGGAAGTCCAAAAAGTCCTCGCAATCCATTTCCATCCATGTCCCAATCCATTCAACTCGTGGCAGCTTTCAGTCGGGAGTTCCTGGCTATCTCGATGACTTGTCGAGAGTCGAAATGCCCGGTCCATCGGCTGGTCCGGAAGGGCTTAAGGTCTAGAGTCTAGAGCCCCCCGAGAGTGGGAGTAAGAGATGGCCCAAAACCTGTCAAGACCTCAAGACCAGCAGACATTATGACATGCAACGACCACCTCTTCTGAAGCTTCTCCCTCCAGCAAATGCCCGCCTACCCACTAGGAATGATGTCGTCCTTTGCAGGCTCCGTCTTACAACCAGCTTCGATGCCTTTCCAGTACCCACCGCCCCCAGCGCCGCACGGCACGTCCAGGAACTCGACGTGATCGACGACCGGAGTTCAACGCCTTTGAGGGAATGTTGGGTGAAGATCTTGCGGCGCATGTGGATCTCGTTCACCATGGTGGTGAAGCTGGCATACTTCACTGTCACTCCAAAGCCTGGAGAATGCACAAACGAAAAAGAACAGAACAAACAAACATGAAACCAACATGAAAGGTGAAGGATGAACATTTGAACGTCTGATCTCTGTACGTCCCGCCTGTTTTTAAAGACACTCTCGGCTTAGTAAACATGTCCAAGAACCCCGTGTTGGAGAAAAGAAGTCTGTGGTTTACTTCATAGGCCCTAGGCTTCAAACCCATATCTCCAAGCACCTCTAACTAAGCTTTCAAGCAAGATGCCAAACATGAAGCGCCGCACGTCGCTCAGATTCACATAGCCCGCGCGCATGGTGTCCTGTTGTCCCCACAAGGTTGGCACATGGACTGAGAGGTCCTTTACGTGGGTAATCAGGACTGCTACCGGCAAGCCAGCATGGCAATCCAAATGAACAAATGCAGGATGTCTTTCACAACGCTTAGGCATTTAAGATATTTTAGGATCATTAGATATCATTATATATACATATATATATATATGTATATTTGGAAAAACAATATGAAAAAAAAGAGCCGCGCGGTCTCTCGATCGGGACGGTGTCGGTCCAGCTCCGTGACGATCTCCTCGACGGTGCAACAGGTGGGCAGCAGTGACTTCAGATCTTCAACCTCCCATCGCCACGCGGAAACAGGCGAAGGCCGTTTCCGGGCAAGCGGCGAAGGCGAAGGCACGAAGGCGGGCGTCTGGGCCAACACATTTTGCCAAGCCACAGGCGGGCTAGGTGCTGGCCCTTGGGGAATCTGGAAGCTTGTGCCCACCCGTTTCTTGAGCTTTTGAGGGGTCATGGGAAATCTGGGTAGCCATTCTCAAGCAACGATTCTGTCAAAGAAACTTAATACATGGATCATGGATTGAAAACAATAGAGGCAAATTACTAATTGCCTGGAGCACCCTTTGAATAACGATTATGAGGCACAATACAATTTATTACAAACATGAGCTTCACTGTATATCTAAACTTAAACCATTCAACATCATTCAACTACATAATTCCATATCCAACATGGTCATGTAATTAACCCCAATGGTGATGCATTGGAATGGTCATTCCAGTCAACATGACGGATGTTCAATTGAGAAGGTGGCGATTTGTACAATGACTGCACGCAGTCAGAATCACTCAAGGATCCGATGCTGGATGCTGTTCGTCCGCACCATTGGCGCTGGCATGACTTGAAAAAACACTGGAGATGCCTGCCCCAAATGGTCAATTTACGTGTCGCACATCTTGGATGTGGATCTGTACAGCGACCCCAGGCTTTTGCTAGCCTTTCCTACTACCTGCTTCAAGACATGTCCAAAGAATGTTCCACCAATCATTGTCAAAAAAATGTGATCGGCTGTCGCATGCTGTCGCCCCCAAAATATCCTTTGGGTACTGGATGCTTGAATGGTTTGAACAACAACATTGTCTTCCTCCATGAGCATCTTTATACATCTTAAGTCACGGAAAAATCCCTTTGACATCTTTTGACCCTCCAACCCGTGTCAACACTGAAAAACATGTGACCCATCCATGCGGCACCTGGCTGTCCAGCTTGGCGATGCGCGACATCACCAGCAAGGTCCTCGCTTGAGGGATTTGAGGTCTTGTTGTTCCTGGGGCCAAATGGAACAACCTGTACCAATGAGGTCCAGTGCCGGCGGGGCATCTGTTTGAACAGTGCTAACCCGGATTTTGAAAATTCCCCTGGGACAAATGATGAGGGAGACTCACATCGTTGCGTAGTCTTGGATGGTTTGGGGGGTTCATGTCACTACCACTATATAGTCTATATTATACTCATTGGCACTGTAATTCCTCCGAGCAAGAAAATCAGTTGCCCGAGCAAAGCACAAGAAGCCCCACCAAAATGCCATTGAGATGACCCAAGATATCCCAGCAACTGATCGAGTTGAACACCCCATGTTCATTTTTCTCGACTGCATCCCGGAGGCTGCTCCAAAGCTCGTTGTTCCTCAGAACGACTCCGCCCGGACTCGGTCGTGCCACGTCCGAAAGGCTTTGGCTACGGAGAAATCGCAGCGCAGCCTCCGCCGACCAAATGGCGCGATCATGCTAAATCTCCAAATCCACGCAAGAGCCCGCCTAAAGGGCTGATTCAGCACGCCTTGTTTTTTGTCGAAGAGCCTGATCTCAACCCTTTTTTTGTTCCAAATGCGTGGAAGCCCCAAGCAAAGCCAAAGGGAACAAGACTTATCCGGGGGCCTTTGCCAATTGGTAAACTAAAGCTTTCCCAGCTCACCTTCAAGATCTTTATCGAAAATGATCTTCAAACCAACATGCCTTGAGTTTGCTTTGACACCATGATAGTTATACATTGGGTCCTGGGTCTATCATGGTCTATCCTATTACCATGATGGCTACTAGTCTTGTTCAAAATTGTGATAATTGTTTACTGACTGTCACAGGCAATAGGACAAACCCTAGTTATAAGGCAAATAGGGGAGCGATTTGCCGGTATACACTTATACATATGTGTCCTAATCCCAAAGGTAGTCTCAGAGTACAGATTGCAGAAATTTCAAAAAACCGCAGTATCCAGTGGATGGGATGGTGCCATCTGCCCTGGGTGCCTCGCCAAATTCTTGAAACCCAAGGGGCGCGAAGGTCCAGGAAGTGTTTCGGCTTGGGCGACAAGGCGCGGCTGGGGCTGCCCAGGATTGGTGAGCCGCTGGGTGAGAAGGAGGTAGAAAGGCCTACAGGGCTGAACTCCGGGGCGATGGACGATGGCAGGATGGCCGCATTCGAAGCGCAAAGACGCTCATTGACATAGAAGCCCGCAGGCCAGATCAAAAAGCACATGACTATAATACAAAGGCTTTGAAACCACCCAACCACCCCAACCACCCCCCAACCACCCCAACGAAGGCGGGGCAATTCATCCTTCTGTGCCAAGTACGACGAAGCAGTCGATGAAGTTGGACATTGGACATGGCTCTGCGAATGCCGGCGCTGTACAGGTGTAGTGAGAGCCCCCCAAAAGGGGCCCTAAAACCACTCCGACCATGTCTGCAGCATTGTTTTGCAGTCATTTGATTTGGTGGCTCCTTCGAATTCTTTGACCTCCCCCCAAAAGAATCACCTAACATCAGCCGTGCATGATATCCACTGCTGCCCGGACTCGACTTCACCGTCGACCGTGAGCGTGACCCGCGCCTCCCTTGTAGCGGTCCAAGCTCGACTCGCGAAGGAAGGAGCCCTGAGCCGAGCGGAACGAGGCCTCGACTCGGAAGCTCGGAAGAGAGATCTGGGAGAGCCATGCGAAAGAACGCCTGCGTGACGCTTGGTGTGACTGGTGAACCAATGTGAACAGGGATCCACATCCTGGCGATGGTGAACGGCACTCTCCAGGGCTATAATGGGCTATATGGCTATATACTACCAATGATTTATCCTGCCAAACCAAACGACTTCCTTTCTATCCTTCATGTTCTAAGCACCCACCATCATCCCCAAGAGAAAACCCCCACGGCAAACCGTGACGGCTGAAGCTCGCTGAAGCCAAGCTGCTCGCAACTCACGACTCTCACGGAGCTCACGACTCTCGCGCAGCTCGCGACTCTCGCGGCTGGGGAGGAAGCTCTCCAGGTCTCGGGAGGAACGCTCCAAGCGCTCCAAGGAGAGTCCAGGGTCCTCGTTCGTGAAGTTTTGCTCAGACTTGAGGTCTTTGAGATCTTTGAGGAGTGCTCAGGGGAGTGCTTAGGGAGGGAGCAAATGGCAATGATCCCTTCAGAAAGGAACATGAAAAAAACACATACTTCAGGTCCGTTGAACGGTTTCCAGTACTCCAAGAAGCCCTGCAACCCAAGTGGGTAGAACTGATTGATGGCTTTTCCAGTGATCATTAGGACACATTAGGGCATTCATGCTTGAGTTTCAATTCAGTGCTAGTAGGTAGCTCTACCGCTGCAGCTCCTACCTACTGGGCTTTCAATCATCGACTTTCGATCCCTGCGCCCTCCATCACCCTGTGGTCCTGCGTTGAAAGCTCCGACAAGTAGGTTCCACTGCCCCTTGGGGCGTCACAAGTCGCTTAAGAAGTCGCTGAGGCCAGTCTTTCGCTAGGCTTTCTTTGCAAAGAACTAATTTTTTCTAAGTGGGAGGGCCTGGATGAACCCATAGATGTTTGAGAAGGATCTTTGGGGCGAGACAACGTGTCGGAGAGAAAATACACCGTTGGATTCCAAAATGCTTATACAAAGTATAATATTTTCAGCATGGTTTCAAAAAGAATATTTCAACAACCAATTTCTTCAATAATAATAGGCGTTTGTATTATAATATGTTAAAATCAGTTCTCTAATAGAACTTGAGGCGGGGGGTTGGTGACGAAAGCAAACATCTGATCTGATCACATGGCCTATCAGAACGGATGCGATCAGAGCAATCCGAACGATTATGCTCCCAAATCCGTCCTAGAGGTGAACCCGCGGAAGGGGGGGTTAGCAGTGGATCATTCAGTGGGGTAGCCGATTCCATCCCCAGGCCAATAACTTGCTCAAGTAAGAGTAACTCCAGCTAGCTGAAGCTAGCTTTCATCGTCAGGTGCATGGTCGGTCTGCTTCGGGCAAATGTTCCACTGTGCTCTTAGGCATCTGGTCATGTTTATGGACAGCTTCGTTTTGAGCCACATCCAAGTTCCTCATGGTACCTACCTGATAGATGAGAATGGTCTACCAAGCCCATCTTTGGGCTCATACGTTGGCTTGGGCGAAGCTACAGCAAAACCAAGGCACCATAATAGAGTGTACACATGGTGTGCACGTAGCTCGGCTTTCACTCGAAAGCACCGGAGACCCATTCAGGAATGCAGGGTTGCTGCCCTCACTTGGGGCACTCTCAGGAAAATCAATCCCACATGGGAAACGAATCGACAGGATCGACTCATTAGCCTACCCCCACCGGGACGAATCCTTAATTTCTGGAATGGAATCTTCCCCGGCTAGTGGACAAATCTGCCCCAAACCCTCGAATCAAACTGACATCCTAAACCTGATGCATCCCTAATGCATCCCCACCCAATAGCAATGGCCTCCAACCTAATAGCACCCCGTGATGCATCCCCACCTCAAGGGAGACTTGGGCGATGGAGTGGCCCAGCTCTCATAGAGTCGTTTCCCCTGGTGCCGTTGAGGCCGACGGTCGGGCACCAAGTAGTCGGGCAATGGCGTCCTGGGTGCGGTCGGCCGGGGGTCGGGGGCCAAAGGACTTTGCAGGGAGTACTTGTCTTAGAAGAAGTGCCACCATGTGTGCTAAAGTCACCAAACCACTCTTTAAGCCATGCAGATCCCACATGTTTCTTTTGGCGTGTTCTTCCTTCAAACTGCTCTGCTCTACACGACACTCATAGCTGCCTGCGGGTGGAAAAGGCCACTTCGTGACTTCATGGGGGGAGGCCAAGCATGGGCGCAGTGTGAGGTCCATTGGGCCCAACGTCCCAGTCTCTTGGCCGAAGTACAGTTGACATAAGCCATCAAAAACCATCAAAAAAAGACAAACATCAAAAACATCCAGAACCATCCTGCAAACTTGCAAGTTTGCACCTACCATGTCCACCGACCTGCCCCAGGAATAGCGTGGAGTAGCCCTCCTCCGAAACGCTTTGGCCCGAGTCTCACTGGGCTTGCGGGGCTGCGCACTGGAGAGACGGGCTCGTAGCGCGCAGGGCTGTAGGCGCGTCGAGGACTGCCGTAGGAGAGCCGCATGGGGCTGTCGTAGGAGAGCCGTGGTGGACTGGAAGCCTCGGCTCTCATGACGGGTCACGGAAGGCGGATGGGTCAGGGTGGACTGCGATCTGGTGGAGGATGGACAATCCTGAAAAGAGATAGATGGCTTTTGAGTCAAGGCTTTGAGTCGTCTACATTTCATGCCAGGCCGATAGGCCGATAGGCGTAGTGAGACAAGGATTGCAAGTAGGTCCACTCTTCTTGTCTCTTTCTTCTGAGACCTTGATGCCATGCAGTAGCACACGGGTAATGTAGTCTACTAAAAGCAGAAGTGTTGGGTGATGTTGGGTGTCTCCTCTGTCGGGTTCCAAGTAGTACATGCGATGAAGCATGTTTGAGCGCTGTTTTGCCACTTGCACTCTTGGAATGGATATTTTTCACTTCACCTCCACGAGAGCAAAAACCACGTGACAGGTTCCCCACCAAAGAACAACCAAGGCTCTTTTGGAAAATCCTTTGGATGTGAACAGCGCCATCATTGCTTTCCACCCGATCCCCCCGATCCGGGCTTTGAGTGGAGCCCCTCAAAAGTGTTCATTCTTCAGGTCACCTTAAGGCCTTTCATGCTCTTGGTCTCTGCCAGTCGCTGCCCCTGCTCTTCACTTTGGTTCTTTTGAAGTGTCTTGAGGTGTTTTGCACACCTGATTCAATGGCTGCATATGGCTGCCATCTTCAATGGTCCTATATGTTCAATCACCCGCATACCCTGATGGAAAAAGCCGTTGCACTATGTGGCGAACATGCAAAGCAACCCGGCCCGATCCATGGATGCAACGATGTTCTTCAGCCGTGAATGGGGTCTGGGGCACCTGAGTGGACCGGGGGAAAAGCCTCCGGGCCCCAGTGAACCGGGCAGCTCTGGGTCCGGTAGGACTGGAGGCACTGGCACGGCGAGGGCTTTGGACGGGGCTGCGCGTGCGCATTTCGAAGCCTCGGCGCGTCTGCGTCAACGCGAGCAAAGGCTTCACGCGAAGCAGCGTTGGAAGGGGTGGAGCTTGCGGGATCCGGTCCGGCCTTGAAATTCCTGTGATATCGGACATTGGTATGGCATGGTGATATACAGTACGTACGTACGTACGTACCTCTCTCTCTCTCTCTGGCGGGCATGACTCGTCCCCGAGTCGTCACAGAGATGCCCAGTACGAGACGACACACGTTCAGCATCCTTCAGTCCTGTCAGAATCCTGTCCAGTCCTTTGGGCTGGAGATCTGTGTGTTCTGCAGCCCGTTCAGCACGTCTAACCCGCTTTAAGCCCTGGCCGAGCTGCTGTCCCGAAGTGGCGTGCGCTCCACCTGGTGCAGACTGGTGAGCGAAATCGAAGTGCTGGCGAGGCCACCCGGGCTGGCCTACTGTGAGCCTGTAGGTCTGCAGGCCGGACTTCTTCTGCCTTTCATCTTTTGACTTGTTCGTTGCTTGTTCTTTGTCTGCCTTAGAAGCCCTTCAAACCGTCACTAATCATAGATGGTGAACACATGTGTTCACACCGAGCACCAGCGCTGACTGATGCGTATCGGTCCGAACGGGCCCACACAAACCCTTCAGCAGACCTGATCCACCCAGGTGTAGGTCGTGGCCGCAGGCAGTGGGATGTCCAGGAGCCGTGCCAAGGCGTCAGCCGGAAAGAAGGCCGCATCCTTGGGATGGCTTGGACCATCGAAACACCCTCATTGGGATGCATGGCTGCGATGTCTGATGTCTGGGAAGTGCTTCAATCAATGGGGTTTGACACCTCGAACGCATGGATACTCTTGAGAGGTACACAAGTGATGTTTCCTGTGCCAACCAAACAATGGATCAACCAACCAAACAATGGATCAAAAAAAATAAAAAAAATATATATATATAAAACAAATCCTCATGTATTCTCCAAATTGTCCCGGCGGCCTTAGTGTTTGGATGCCCGCAAGATAAGTTGGAAGGCATGAGATGTGGCGGAACCGTGGAAGTGTAAGCGCAGTGATCCTGTGTGGTGACATGCTGTCTACACGAGGACGCTTCTACCCATAAGATCATTACCATTCACTACCCATGTACAACGTATGTACTACAGTAGCATGCAGCTACGCTTTTGAAGCAATGCCAAGGATGACATTTATTCTCGAGTAAGGAGGAGTGTCAAGTGAGGCCCCTAATCGCAGTGACTTCCTGTCCAAGCATCACTGGGATTAATCCGCTTCATTAGGGCATCGCAAAGCAAGGGCTCCATGGGCCGCGCGTAGCCCGGCACGCCCCGCATGAGCACATTCCGCACGGCAGAATTGCAAAGCAGGCCGCCCATGCCTTGACCATTGAATGTTTTGATTTATTCAGCACACCCCCAGGGCCAAGGTCTCCGGTGGTGAAGGCTGGTCTTAGCATCTCAGCTCAGTGGTAGAAGAGTTCGTCACATTAATTCAATCTGGCTTACGAGAGGGAGCATGGGGAGCTTCAACAAGGACGACGACGCCAACAGAAATCAGCCATACCAAGGTCTGCGAGTTCTTGCCTGCGCAGAATCCTTCGTCAGCATCCAAGTACTTCATGATCACATTGCCAGAGAGGGCGGCCTCTGCTACGGGGGGTTTGGAGATACTGCACTCGTTCGTCCGTCCACTTGGAAGGGGTGTCCTGACTCAAAGCCTACGGACTGTCTTCTGTTGTCCTGTTTGCAAAGGACAAGTTGGCAAAAGCGCTTGTGGCATTCAATGGTTCTGAACAGTCATGGGCGGACATTTCGACGGATGGATCACACTAGGTTTTAGAACAAGCAACACATCAACCGCACCAGCCGCGTACACATCCTCTTCAGGACTTCTTCCGCGAGTGGAGGTTGTCTTACCGTAAGGGTTGAAGTTGTCTCCAAATCGTCCAACATAATCCATCTACTAAGAAACTCCTCCTTGGAACCTTCCAGGGGATTGATGGTAAGAATTCTGGCTTGAACTTGATTGGATCTACGTAGCAATCCAGACCTTTGCCATCGCAAGCTCGCGCCTGGCGGAGGTGTCGTTGGTGAAAACGCAAGCGGCTCACAAAGTCCAGCTCCAAGAGGAAGACCCTCAGCGCCAAGCGGAGAATCTCTCACTTCTCCGGTCAGTTTTGCCGAAGAATTGGTTTCGGTCCGCCCCCATCCATCAGGACTGCCATGCCATTGGACTGCCATGCCATTTTGAGACCATCTGAGGATCGCAGGGCCCCGAACACGGAATTTCGGAGCCAAATTGCTTTGACACATGGGTGGATCAGTGGTCAACAGTGAAGTGAGGACCCTGTAAACTGCTTCCAAGATCTTGGTCTTGGAATGTGTTGGACAATCCTGGGCAAAAGGGAGCTGTGGGACTGGGACGACGTTCACGTTTTCGGGTTTTCCTTGTTCGGGGCACTGGCAAAGCCTGTAGGTCACCTCCGGCAAAAGGCCCATCCTCTCCCACTTGCTGCTGCGGGCGAGGGAGAGCTCCTGGAAAAGGACCGCGTCACTTGGAGTCACTGTTCAACGAGGACCAAAGAGGACCAAAGAGGAACATTAAACAGTTCAGCTACAGGACCGGATTGCTGCGTGGATTGTAATCATCCGAAACTGGTCGATCTGTGTAGTTTCCTACAGGGTCCACACCGGCTGCACCGGCCGCAGCGTGCAGCTTTCTTGACGCGCGTTCGCGACCGCGTCGGGTGTGGCGAGCGCGTGTCGAGAGACGCCTTCAGCCAGCCGCTGGAGCGAAAGGTTGGCGTGGTCATTCGCACAAAGTCCTGACATCGTCGCTGTTCTCAGGACGGCTTGGCGTCGCAATGACGATTCGAACGGTGGTAGGCTCAAGAGCCTGCACGGAGGAAGTATCTTTCGCATGAATTTGGAACAGGGAGAAGGTGCAGGTCTTTCGAGGAATCTTCACTTCCTTGCAATTGATGGTGTCTTCCATCAAAGCTCTTTGACTGTTTGGGTCGAAATGGTGGCAAAAAAATTCGCGGACTACGGACTACATCGGACTACTGACCAAATTGGCGAAGGGGCTGTTGATAGAGCATGTTCTCCACCATGTCGGACATGCTAAGAAGTCACAAAACTCTGCAATAGTGGGAGATTCTCTCTGTGGTTCAGGAAGTCTTCCTTCAACAATTAGCAATAGTTGTGGGATGTTGTGGGTATACTTTAATCTGGAACGACCTAGAAACACCCATGTGCTATACCTGAGTTGGAAGGGGGTAGTCAAACAGCCATTCAAACATGTCCCCAAACGCGCGATGTTCCCTGCAATTTTTCTGCGCTCCCACGCTTGAGCGTGGAGCGCACCCGCATCGGCCGAAAGGGCTCCTCAGGAAAGATCTCCATGGTTCCAGTCCTGAGCTTGATGGTGGCCAAGACGTCTTCCAACACATAGCCTGAAGACGGCAAAGGGCATGGCACAAAGATGGACCGCAAATTGCCAAATTAAGTGTCTGCAGATGTCTGCAGTTTGATTGATGGTTCAACTGACCTGCTGTTGCAAACAATCAATCACCAACCAAATCTGAACAGGCTCAAAAATGGCAACCCAGCGCTGGCCCGCACCTGCCACTGGATGTGGTTGTGATGAAAGCCACAAGTGAAGGTCACTGGCGCTGAGCCATCCTGGTCAAGGCAGTGGCAACTGCGTCTTACCTCAGAAAATATGATGCTGTTAAACTTGGACTCATACCTCTTGCACCCCAAAAATGCAGTTGTCTTATTTTGAACACTCGCCGCTTTGTGCGGTGTTTCCATGCACACCGACAAAAGGCATTCAGACTCGACTTCCCCCCCACCGTCCACTCCCGGTGACACCGCCCGGTGGACCCGGTGGACCGTCCTTTGGAGCTGGGACCCTGGACCGCGCGGAAGGCCGCCATCGGATTGTAGTCGGTGAGTTCGCCTCGCTTCCATTCCGCCGGTGAGTCCGTGCCGGTTCGGTGGCCCTTTTCGGCCACACGTGCGGGTGAGGGAAAAGGGGGAAAAGGGAGGACGGCGAGACGGCGCCGCATGGCGCACTGCAGTGCAGTCGATTTAGGTGGATGTTGCTTGATGTTGTTTCACAGTTTCACGAAAGGTCGTCTATAAGTGTTTGAATTTGCTCCTTTTTTGGCAGTTCGTTTGTTTCCCATTCTGATGTAGCATGCCTTCTTCAGGTTCAGGTAATGCAAAGGAACATGTGTTCCCAGGTGTGCCATAACTGAGTTACTGAAGATGAGCCAGTGTCTCAGCCGTACCAAATCAACCTTTTGGATCTTGAATGGTGGTCCGCCCAAGTCACTGGTGCAACTCAGAAGGAAAACATAAGACCACGATGTACCAATGTGCGGCCCAACGCACATCAAACATCTAGTATACTGGAAGTGTCTATACCCAATTCATCTAGACTCTTGATAAAAGACACACACCACAATTTTCAACGAGCCCTATGACTCTATGACTGAGATGCCGAGTCACAAAGCTTGTACCGGGCATCCTCGGTATCCAGCTCTGCTTCTGCAGCCGCCCGCAGCAGGGTTGCCAGCGCAGCCTGGAAGGGGCCGCAGGCATGCGGTTCTTGCTTTGGGCAGAATGACCACTTTGTAAATACATCTGAATTGGAACACATGTTTTACGTACCTAGGTTTATTGGTGCTTTTTTGGGATGCTTTTGGATGTCTGCTAGCTACTGAGTTTCGCTGAAACATCTCAAAGGCTATTGTGGACCCCCTTCACCTGCACAACTTGAGTGTGTGGCTCTTCAAGCATGATGGATGGTCCGATTTTCCGAAATGTGTGTTGGGTCCCTAATGATCTGGCTGGAGCATTTCCGTATTTGAGTGCTAAAGGAGCTTAGTTCATCCTTGTTGTTCCCAGTTCAAAAATGAGAAGCCAATGGCGAAGTCAGTTCCTTCAAACATGATGCAGGCACCTGGTGAGACTGAGACCCTGCAACAAACACATATCATCAAAAGCCCAAATCATCAGACGAGATTGCTTTCAAACAGCCCCAAATCATCCCAGATCCCCGAATCTCACCTGTGCTCTCTGGGCACCAGAAAATCAAGAAGGCATGAACATGGCCTATCAGGGACAACATGACTTGGTAGCTCCCGGCATCTCTGAAGAACCACACCTTCTGATCCAAGTCAATGAAGCTGTAATCCAAGCTCCTATTGACCGAGAAAGCGGAGGAAGCGTTCCGGAGACTTCGGGCTGGCTACAACCACTTTCATGATCCGTCGGACTCCACGAAGCCTGAAAGACGCTGGTGCCCAAAGGTGTGGACATGCTGATAGAAGCAAAGGCCTCCAACCTACTAGCGTTGGCCTCCAACCTACTAGCAATGGCCTCCAACCTACTAGCGATGCCCCTTTGTGAGCAAATGTGTTTTCCCCGCATGTCTTCTTCCTTCGTTCCAACTTCCCTTGGACTTTGTCGTGGAGCTTTCGGAGGACCTGGTCTTCTTCTCAGTCATGCTCGGGTGCACGCTGCACCACCAACCCAGTAAACATAGTAAACTACAGTGAGGTGGTGGTGGTCAATCCCAGCATGGCCTTGAACACCTCATAGCTAGCGGACCGGTTTGAAGAGCTAGGCTCTTTTCCCATCACACAAACGTTCATGTGTACTGCACATATTTAGTACATAATACAAAGTATAACACAGCAAACCCCATCAACCGCGGTGTCTTCTTTTTGTTTTGCGCCTTCGTAGGTGGTTTGTTCACCCTTTTGTGCGAAGCTGACGGAGCACTGCAGCGGACATGCTGGAAAGCCAGTGTAGTTCGCTGAAATCAGTTGGAACAATCTTCGTGGTGACCCTCATCTTGATCCGCCCATGGGCCTATTTATGGCGTGCACCTGGATGTTCAAAACTCGGTTCTTGAGGCACTGTCCTATTGCATGTCTAGCGCCTAAAATCGGCCCACCCAGCTCCATGACTGCCATGGACCTCGCACCTGTAAAGAAAACACCATAAACCAATTGGGTGTAGAACATGTTTGAATATGTCTTGACTATACAAAGGATAAGCGACCTTGGTGAGGTGGGGGCCCGGGGTCTCCTTTCAAGCGCCATCAGTCCACACTTGCACAAGACACGCAGGAAACACCAAGCGTCCGGGCGAGCTGAGAGCGGCTGCAGGCATGAGCACTGAGAAGGGCTTTCAATGAAAGCCTAAATGGCCTAAGAAGCCTAAAGTCCCAGTGGTTGCTTGTGGTGTTCCACATGTCTGGTGTTCTGTCAATACTGATGTGCGCCAGTGTAGGCCGACGGTGTGCTGTTCTCAGCGCACTACAACATGTGACTTACATGCGCTGCGTGGGAAGAGGGTTCACCCGGTGTGCCCAAAAGCCATCCAAACTGCCTCAAGGTGAGCTGGACCGACAGGACTTCCCGCACTTTTCGGCACGCGACAATGGCACCATTGGGCTGTCCTGGGGGTGAAACCTTTGGTACACATTCCTCAGGGCACCTCCTTCTGCATTCGAAGCGCTTGTAGATAGCTCCAGAGCGTGAAGGCCAAGATGTTTCCTGAGGAGAGGAGGAAGGACAGTGACTGTCAGGAAGACCGACCACCGACCGTAGATCTGAGGCTATACTAGGTCGACCTCATATTGTAGCTGTTCGGTGTGATTTCTTCTTGCTACATCTGGTCTTTCTGAATGTCATCTGTTGTATCACTTCTGCCAAGGCTCCACAAATGCCCAAGATCATCACGGAGCTCCACCGGCCACTGGGAAGGATCTCCAAGCCCAGGCACATGGACCTCAAAAGCCCCTAGGTCGTGGGTACACCAGGTTGGAGGAAGTTGCATTTCTTCAAAAGACCGAAGATGTCAGGCATGGCATGCCCTACAGGCCAGGATTCTTCTTCTTGTTGCTTGTGTTTGGGCGAGAGGTCTGGTTTGCAGGACATTGCTTCATGCTTCTTGTAGCCAGAGCAGCCGACAATATGCATCATTACCCTCCACATCCGTGATCATTTCAGGGAGTGCCATTGCCATGCGATGGCACCTGCCGTGTGTTTTACAACGGCAGTTGATCGTCAAGACGCAAGGAGATCGTTGCCGCCTTGTTGAAGTTCCCAGCGAAGGCGGCGTGGGTCGCCTCTAGCTGAGACGGCCGAGGCAGGCGCAAGGCACGCATGAAGGCACCCGCAAGGCGGCTTCTAAACGCCGCGCAGGAGGAAAAGGATTTCAGTGTGGTTTTGTTGAGTTCGGTGGCTTTGGGCTAAATCTCACCTCTTGTGATAAAAGCACACGGTGCACAGTCTGAAATTGGATTGCTCATCTATATTGAACGATGGCTGTTGTTTGCCATGGCCAGGTCGCAGCTATGTTGCTTTGGGACAATCCGAGCACTGTAGAACAAAGCTGGAACATGATAAAGAACCAAGTACTGAACCAAGTATTTAGTTGGGTGAGGCACAGGTCACCATTACTCTTTCATCACAGCATGTCTCTACACGCCCCCCCTTATCAGCTGTATATGCATGTTATAGATAAGTGCAAGCACATGCAAAAGCTTATTTGGTGTTAGGACGGAGTCCTTCAGGTTCTTGGAAGGGTTCATATCCTAGCTACTGGTGGCAGCTGAAGAATATAGCACTCAAAGAAAAATCGTAACATATCGAATTAATTCTATTGCACTTTGAAACGGCGCCGATCAATCGCAACATCTATTTGGGCTCGCTATGTTGCAGTCCTTTCTTTTTCTTTCCTGTCTGCCGTGGACCGCAGCCACGGCACTGAGAGAGTCTGCACCACGGTGTACTGGATGAAGTTGTAGCCAGCGGACACCACGCCCGAAAAGATCACCTACATGCGAGGTGCACTGAGGATGAGCTGATCTGAAAAAAGCGGTAGGAAGAGCTGATCATGCAGTTGGGTTGGGGTCATGATGGGTGTCACTTCTTTGAAACACGCTTCGGTCAAGAGGATCTTCTCATGGATGAGAAACCAGGAAGGGACAGGCCGACAGACGAATCTTTTTGAGCCTGAGAATCCTTCCACACTTGGGACGCTGGAGATCAAACAAGTTCTTAGACAGTGTTGTGTCGAACGAGAGACCTTGACACGTTGATCCACGTCTGGAACAAATCTGAAAGAACACACCACCCAATCACACTTAGACTCGGGTCGCTGCATCCCCCCCCTACGCCGTGGCAAAGCGAAATGGACCTCTGGGCTGGTTGGCTCCCAAAAATGCGTGCAACGAGCGCTCGCTCGCGTGTCGCACGCTCGCGAGCTTGCTCGCGGTGATGTTCGCCGGGGCACGAGGAAGATGGTGCCGGGGCTCAGCTGATGCACTCTCTGGTAGACCTGCATTACAGCCCCTACGACGGCACAACGGGGCCCGGTGGCCTTGCCAGTTCGATTTTAGCCAGGTCTGTGGGTCTGTACGGCCGGGACTGTGTGAAGCACCTACTTCCTCCCAAAGAGTTTCACCGTTCTTTTAAAGCCAAGTGGCAGGAAAAATGCCATCTTCCATGCTGTGTCGTACATTGCTTTCCCAAACGTCTTTGTGCCCACAAATGTCCGTGAGATACATACTCCTCCACCCAGTGCAGTGACTACAAAGATCACCCAAACCAGTTTAGGAAGGAAGCTTCGTTACTTCCGACCACACTGCAACCGACCGCGGAAGGACCGAGGCATCCGCATGCCGCATGCCTCTGTCGGTCTCTGTCTCTGTCGGCCTCTGTCTGTTTAACTGTGACCATTCACGGCAGAATTTGAACAACTGTGTCCAGCAAGCCACCATGGGCGCCTCTTGTGATTCAACTGTTGGGCCACCTAGGACAGTTGTGCTTCATTGTCAGGTCAAACCCAAAGAAGCATCTTCAAAGTGATGCCCCAAAATATAAATTCTATCATTTCGGTAGTGCAGCCCGTCTGAAAACATTAAACAACAACATATATACATCAATCAAATCAAACCTCTAAACTCTAAACCTTTCTCATGCTCCATCTTTCTTCTGCCCGAGTTCCACACCACTCCATACTCATCCTAGTCCGCACGCCTCCTCATCCCACCCAGGTGGAACACACCACAGGCAATGACTGGCCATTTATAGCAATTCATGATGACTCGTCGACGAGTCATCCTCGTCGTCTTTGGACCGTCCCTTTCGTTTCGACTCGTTTCGACTCGTTTCCCGCTCGTTTCGACCTGCCAGTCGGTGAGGGTCCCCGAATCCGGCCAGTTGATGGGATGCGAGGCGTACAACGAGGCCTGGAATCCGGCGAGTGGGGCCGAATGTGAGGGGAAGATGTGAGGGGAAAGAAGTGGTGTGAAAGACGTGGTGTCACCTTCTTGAGTTAGTGATTTAGATTGATTTAGTCTATTTTTGCATGTACTTCTTTTGGATTTCGTGTTCTTTTCTCTTTGGTGTTTCCGGCTCGTTTCCCGTAAAAAACGAGGCCGTGTTTTCTCCGATCCTTCGAGGCTTTGGTGGAGAAGCCGCCTGACTGGGCCATCCCACCCAAAGCAACAAACATCGAAGCTTGCTTGTGGAAGGGAGACAAATTAAGTTGGCACTGATGGTGTGATATCATGAGATATCCATCCCACCCACAGGTGCATAATTGCCTCCCTCCAAGTAAAGTTTATCACCCAGAGCTCTCCAACCACATCCACCGGCGAAATTTCACGTTCGAGCCACCGGCAGCAGCGCCAAAGCACAAGGCAAGGCTGTGTAAAAGACCCTTAGCACACTGACTGTCGGAGCCCCGCCCTTGAAGGTGCCTGAAGTGGGGTTTGGGAACAGAATCCCGCTCACAAGCAGTAGTCGCCAGGCCTGTGGAGCTTTGCTTAGGAGAACGCAAGAGAACGCTAACGCAAAGCAACCCTCCCAAAACAAGCACCGTGGGCATTTCATCTCAATTCCCATCTCGTCCGGAACCACCCACCGATGCCCCGCCATGTGGACGCCAGGGACAGCAACCCTCCCTGGTCCCTCGTCCGAGCGACGTGTCCAAGGGCGTGAGGGGTGGTTTCAAGGTACTGCTGAAGGCGGCTGCGAGGATGAGCGTGGTCGCAGCAGCGAGGTCACCCAAGCAACACATCAAAACACCTGAACTCTGTCGATCCGGACGACGCGGACGGATGTGACTTCGCGGGACTGGCCGAGGGTTCCCATCCGGATGTAAGGCATTCCAAAACCAACACGGGAGCAGACTGGAGCTCCACGCGGACGGACCTGCGGACCGCATGTCATGTCTTCTTCGGATCTACCCTCCACGCGTTTCCACCATGGAACCTGAGAATTGACCGGAAGACCATTTTCCTCTACAACATCTACAGCCCAGTGGTTTTGGGGTTCCATGTTAATCTGCATGGAGTACATCATCTTTGTTTTCTGATGACGGTCAACAGCCTCCGTTCCAAACACAAAGGCGGTGTATTTTTCCATGTTGGCCACCCATTCGAGGGCTCCAGTGTTCGGGTTGTCCGAAACAAGATGCCAAGACTCCGAGCCACAAATGCCCATGCTGTGAAGGCTCATTGCCTTCCTAGGTCCGACTGAGGGTTTGCGAACAAACCCGCACCAAGAGCCTCACCGCCATGCTGCTCAATTTTTTTTAAGCTCGTGGCCACAAACGTGCCCTTACATCCTCGTTCTCGAAGTGGCCGCTACAAACCCTCATGAACCAACCTGTGCAACCAAAAATGGTCTTCAGGTGACCCCCAAAGGAACTTCCTTTACTTCAGTGGGGCCAAATATTGCCTTTGGACTTCTCTCCTGCCCATCAGCTGAATGCATTGTCGCTTTCACAGTTGGTGACGGGTTTCACTGGCCAGGGGCTGCATGGACGACAGCAGAACCAGGTGCAACAAAAATCGTGTGGACCCTCGCCACCTCCGAAACCATCCTTTTATGTCAAGTTCCTTGCGAGGTCTGTTTGAAGGTGTCCCTTTGAGGCATGTCTCTTGGGCACATTCATTCATAGCAAATGAAAAAGTACCATCGCTAGCATCATCTAGCTGGCTGCCCGCTGACCCAGCTGGATCCAATCAGTTGATTTCGCTGAGAAACCATTGCCCATATTGCCCTGTGACCTTTCTAAGAAACCACTCCCATTGAAAAATCAGGCCATGCTTAGAGCCTGACGCGCGTCTCACTCACCACACCCAGC